CATCAGTGTGTTCCACGTAATATATATATATATATATATATATATATATATATATATATAATATATATAATATATATATAATATATCGCTTGCTCTGTACTATTATTAGGAGGGAGGAGACGACAAGAGGGCAAAAATGCTGCAGTGTGCTCAGATTTGGGTGCACGTTAAGGAACCCCAGGTGGTCTAGATTTCCGGAGGCCTCCACTACGGCGTCTCTTATAATCATATAGTGGTTTTGGCACGTTAAACCGCACATATCAATCACGACAAAAGGGCAGTAAAAAAGACGCCTAAAAACAAATGTACTACATTTCAGTGTTCGTAAATATCCAGGCTTTATTGAAGAAAAACAAAGAAAGCTACAGTTGATTGTAACCTTTTTTAAATCAGGCAGTGGAAGGTATACCTGGACAAGGAGAGCTAATCGCTGATGTACAAGTGAACGTTTTTTTTCCTTTTTTTTTGGGACGAGTTGGCTGGTATTTACGAAGATCGCAGAGAAACACGAAGGTAAGACCGTGAATGCACATAACCCGTGTAACAAGCGTACAAACAATTCAATGGGACGCGCGCGTTGATTTGGACATCTGGAGCAGTCTACGACAATAACATCAGTTTTGGGCAGCACGGCAAGGACACATACGCACTCAACGGTACAAACGTATATCACAACACGACAATTGTACTGCACAGCGTTGCAATGACAGGTGACGGAATTCTAGTCAATGTGTGTGCTGCTCGCAGAAATCAGCTGCAAGTAAAGTACTTCTTGCTTCCCTTCAGATACAAATAACCGAAACACCTATAAATGAAGCCAGTTTTAGAAGATCTGTTATTTGGGTTCACGCGATCAGAACATGTGTCGTTCTGCAGGCTAAAATCGCAACAGCCATCTTCACTGGAACAACACTTTCGCGACGGAATTCGCAGCGTTCATATATTTCGTTCAGTGTTTAGAGTGGCTTAAAGCTGTATGTGAATACTTATTCACATATTTTAGTGACTGCTTTCTGTTACATCATTTATGCCATTCGTAGGGCAGAGTGTGTGCTGGCGGCGTAGGCTGTTGAGCTAGACTACATAGGGCACGTAGCATTATGAGCAATCGTCGGGGGTGCTACAAGATTTTCGAAATCTTGCGTTGTAACAGAATGCGATTTTGGGGCGTCCTCGGATACATAATTAACGCTTTTATTGCAACTGTCTTAGAACCGATGAGTGCAACTGGGGTGCTATTCTGGAACAAAATTTTCAAGATGTTTTAAGGAAGGAAGGAAGGAAGGAAGGAAAATAGGATGAAAAGAACGGCAGGGAGGTTAACCAGCCTATAGGCAGCCGGTTTGCTACCCTGCGCATGGGAGGGGGATGGGGGTCAAGCATTTCCAACAACTTAACGAAGACAAAGAAAGGGTGCATGTGTGTCTTAGATAGGTATATTATTTGCAATGTGATTGTGCTTGTATTTTGTTTTTGCCTTAAAGTTAGTCTCGTAGCTTACAATAGCTATAAATATAAACAAAATGATGAAATAAAGACTGAAATTTCTCATTACCATGGTATGTGGCAGGTGCACACCTCCCTTAATCTCACCAATGTTTCGACCAGTTCGCAGGGTAATTTCTTTGTAACATTAGTTCTTCATTGCAGCCAAACTTTGGTAGTAAGCTCGATCTACGTTGTATGTTTTCGACGTTGTTACGGCGTGGAAATACTTTACTGCTTCTCGTTGTCTGTCAGGCCGTACCGTGGCCACCATACGTGAAGGATGCGGCGGGACAAGAACGGTCCTTCTAGCGTACTCATAGCTACCTAGCCTAGCAGCTCTGAGCGCAACTGTATTTTTTTTATGGTAGCGTATAGTGCAGATTAAGTGCGCTGAACGTATCTGGGAAAACATGTACTGTCCTTTTGTGAAGTAATAGCAGACTACCTAGCTGTGGCCAAGATTGATTCTGGTAAGCATGAGCACTGACGTCCAGACCTATAACTAGGAGGGACGAAAATTGTACCCTGTCTCTACGAGAAATGACATAAACTTTGGCAACTGCAATGGCACTTTGGCAAGCAACTACTGGTTCAAAAATGCTGCGCCAATTATTAAAAAAATATGCGCCGAAGTCATCTGGAAGGTGTATATTCAAGTCTACGGTAAGGGCTTGAGAAAAGCCTACGTGAGATCACGGAGAGCAGAAGTGCTTGTTGTTGGGCTGGTCGGTACTAGACGCTGGGCTATAGGTAACACACGAACAGAAACAGTGCAAGAAACGGGACAAGAGGTGTCAAGGCCGCCCTAGCTGTCTCACTCACTGCGCTGTTTTTGATCTCGAAGGACGACACAACCTACATAGGAGTCTCCGTTTTCATGTTGAGTCAGCGTTTCTAGTTCGCGTTTACTTCAGCATGATTTAAGTATCTTGTTTCTGCTTAATAGCTGTACTTAAATGTATTATTGTCGGCGGGAGATCGTGCTTTAAATTATTCCTGGAAAGAAGAAAGTCCGATTTCTCAGCGAGAACGTATTGCAACCGTGGCGCAAGCAGACTAATACATGTGACACATCCGAATCGAAAAACCCCCTGCCGTAAGACGAAACCGAATTCCGTACTATAGACACATTTCTCGCATGAGACACGTTGATTCACACTGTCAGTGTTTGCGACGCCGTGGAATCAGATGTACTGACGCAGAGGAATCGACAGCTGGGCTAGTTGGTCACAGTTCGCGAACATCTTGAAAACATCACAAAAATCCTTCAATCTTTCCTTGTCCGTCTCGTTTCTTTTCTTTTCTTTACCTGCGCTGTTTTCAAAATGTTGAAGAGTGCACTGACGATAAGGTGTTCTGTCTCTTCATCATTCTCTGTACACTAAGGTCTGTACACGTTTTCCGCATTAGACGTGGATTGCGAAACCCTGTAACCACAACGTAGCGATAAGAGTAGGTGCCAGAAGTCGCTATATACACTGCAGTTTACAGATACATAGGTAAAGTGCTGGCGAACAGATGGCGTTACATTTGTTACACGGACACTGCGTGGTGTGATACGGATGAAACGGCAGTCAATGACACTATGAATTCGCACGACCTACGTGAACTAGCGGGTAAGTTTAGCACGTGTTCTTATATTCCAGAAAGTGTCGGTGTGCAGACGCTGCAGCTGTACTGTACAAGCACTTTCTAGAGAGAACATTGGCGGCAGTTTTTGGCAGCAAAGCACAATAATTGTGTTCTTTAGGCGACAAAGCATGAACTATACAACGATCCGATATTCGAGACGACCTATAGTTTAAGGACCAGGTTTTATACGGTATACGACGACGAAATGTGCTAATCACCTCGCATTCTTTATAACCGTTATTACGCTCGGCAACAGTCAGCGATATGCACTTCAACGACGTATTTGCACTTAAAACAATTGTGTGGAAGTTGCCAGCTTATGTACTGTTGTCGCCCCTGCTTCGTCGCTGAAGGATCACCTGGCTTTGCTGAAAAATAATACACACACAAAAAAAACTGGGAAGCAATACAAGGGAACGCTTAATAATTGGGGGTAGTGGTACAATGACATTGGCTTCGATGAACGAGGAGATAAACTGCAACTATGTTCGCCTGAACAAAAATAAACCCATGCGTTGATATTTTTGTCTTGGAAGGAAATGTTTGCATTTTCGACAATCACTTATGCACAAGCATTGTACACATCGAAACAAAGCAGAAGAACGCAGAGAAATGGAGAAGAAGCAATCAAAGTTCGTCGCCAAATAAGGAACAAAACGTCTAGTCAAGATCAAGGACGACACGTCTTTAATTGATCAGCCGTGCAGCTATACATGCTAACTAATAATAATCGCTTTTGAATTCTACTCGCAAATAGTACAGCCTCCCCAGCAAAAGTTTCCGAGTCGTGACATTTTCGAACAAGCTATTTTACCACTTTGTCTAGCAACATAGGCTCCAATAAAATATAGCTGTCTGTAGCAACATGCTAAATTAAAAGCGTTATGCGCCAGCGGGGTGAAATTTTCCTTTGCAGTGAAACCCACTTCCCGTGAACTTTCGCTGCCGGGTGCGCTGTCATATCTTGCGTCATGCACGTGTTGTTTGTAAAGTGTAATCATGCAGCTGTAAGCGCATGAAAATGTCTAAATTTTCGGCGGACGTCTTGTTAAATCATAAGGCTCTAAGGAAAGCAAGATACACTGAAGACATTTCATGTTCTTCTGTGGCTAAATAGCGAAATAAAAACTGAGAAGTTGAAGCGAAGCGGCTTCGCAGGTGTCAGAAAGCGACTCATAATTTGTTACACAGGCAGACTAAACCACGGTCATGTGTAACCACAGTTCGCTTATGTTACATGGTATACGGAGAACCACGATTACGTCGCTAACCACGGTTGTAGAAAACCGAACTTGGCAAACCTCGGTTCGGCGGTTAACCGAGCAAATGGCAGTGTCCGTGTAGCAAGGCCAAACCGCCTCTTTTGCGCTGTGTGGCATCGGCGAACCGTTGTTGGTGCTAACAGTGGTTGGTCGAAACGGTGGTTAACTTGCCTGTGTAGCAAGGGCATTAAACGCGTACGCAGTGATTAACACGGCACACCTGTAAGCATGGTACTTACCCATTAATCAAACCGAACACTGAAAGACAACAAAACTGCGAATCCAGCGTTCCACGGGGGGCACAAATTGAATACCGCTGAGAAAGACAGGTATAAGCTGTCGTCACAGTATACACGTCACAAAACATGCAGATATTACAGATAATGCGTTGTTTATAACTTAACATTGTTCCTGCAAAACTTGACCCTGAAGCACGATATGAGATACACAAAGCCCCAAGAGCAAAGGAAAAAAGCAGAGCTGTTCGCGAACGCCTGTGTAAAGAGCAGCGTTTATCAGCAAGCTTTAATGTCGATTTTAGTATCATTGGCCTATAATTTGTCACCAATAACAAATGTAATTCCCTGCCATCAATAGTGAAACCGCGACGTCAATCGCGACGTCAATCTTGAAACTACTCAGATCAACAGGGCCACGAAACGAGACCATGGTCGTCAAACTCCGCTCTTGCCTTTGCGTACTCTTGGGCTGGTGTAACGCGTAATAAGTGAGGCGTAATCTATTTACAGCAAATCGAGAAACCTCGACGAGTCGATTCGCAGCTTCCACGGAACTGGCACACACACGCGCACGTACAAAGTCTCGAGCTTCTATCCCCGCCCACGTGGCTGACTACGAACAGAGAGGGAACCCCGTTTTTTCCATTTCTCCGCAAACACGGGCGTCCTCTCTCCTCTGGTGGAGCAAACACCGAGGAAGCGTTCAGGTGGGCATTCTAGAGGCGGCTGCGAGCAACAAAGGCAGCAGCAGAAGCGCGGCCGTTGTCGGATCTTGCTGGGGCGCCGCGTTACAGTAGTCCGAGTCGCAGATGCAGCGCACCGTTGTCCAGGCCCGGCTCGTCTCGGTCAGGCAACCCTTGTGCGGAGGGTTGCTCGGAGCGCAGTTGCGGCGGACGTGCTCGAAGTCACCTGCGCGACCAAGGGATTTCGTTTGTTGTTGCTTCGTATATAGTTGCACGCATACGACAAAGTAGACGCTGCGATAGCTAGATACGGCTGCGCTAGTGAGTAATTAAAAGTATAACGTTTCGACAGCTCATTTCCCGTATATACATATCACACGAGTAAACGACATACTAAATCTACAAACGTATGAACAAGAAAGACGAAAACCAAAACGAGCGATCAACATATATAGGTCAGCTTTACAGTTCACGTAAAAGTTCTCTAAAACACTGCCATACGAGAAAACAAGGGTTCTTTTCGACACACTCCAAGACAAAACACAACAACAATAAAAAAACAACAGCCACATTCATAACTATTCTTTATGAGTCCTGACTTGTGTCCTATATGACATTCATGTCAACTCTGCTTTGAGTCCAACGACTCCCCGAAGAAAGTATAAGTCTCCAACGGGAATTCACGTGCCTCTTTAAAGAAAGTCATACACGCGGCAAGTCAGAATTGAACGAAATAAAGGAAAAAAGGATAATTTTTCTTAGAGCGTGCTTTCACAAGGTATTTCGAAACTTTAAAAAGTATTTTAATTGCAATAAATCAACTACTACCTATAAGAGAATTTCATGAGGCTTTAGAAGAGCACGATTGTGTCCGTGTCATTGCAGATGTATAGGCGTGCTAACACTAACACAAGTAGGGAACCAAAAAAAAAAAAAGCGATAACACGAACACCGACCGTCAACCAACTGGCGAAAAAGAGCAAGGCGCAAAGCTCGTCTAAGCGTGCTTATGTGAAGGCAGCGTCAATCCCTCATTGACACACGCGAGCGCTCGCGAGAGTTAGATGTTTAAGCATGACAATTTCTTTTAATGCAAGATGATGGAGGGTTGGTCGTTTTCCACACGTGCTGCCATTGTTAAGGACACGTCATAATTAAAACGCACGCCTATTCATTCCTATGTTTCAACAGGACTATACAGGGTGTCCCACATAACATGAGCCAAGAATTTGAAAATGAAAGACACTTTAGTGGCGAATCGAACCAAACGCGTATTACTCGCACTAGCCTGTAGGTACTCAGGCTATCTTTTTATTTCTCACCATACTAATTAATATATAATTTTTAATTACCTATTTTTAAATATGGGCTGGAAAACCAAAATATGAACTCTGAGTTGTAGAGCACTTTCAGAAACCACCGACAAAATTGTTTCATGTACGATAAGTCTAGCACTGTTATTTTTTTCCGCGTTGTGAAAAAAGCCTATAGCAGCACTATAGAAGTGCGCTCGCGGTGCGTCACACAGCTTTTTTTTTTTTTCACGCTTCGCGGGCTTTCTTTACAATGCGAAAAAAAAAATAAATAACAGCGCGAGACGTATCGTACAGGAAACAATTTAGTCGGTGGTTTCTTAAAGCGCTCTACATCTCAGTGTTCATATTTTGGGTTTCCAGCCCATAATTAAAGATAGGTAATTAAGAATCATTCTTATTGGTATGGGGAGATATAAAAAAATAGCCTGGGAATCTACTGGCAAGTGCGAGTAGTATGCGTTTGGTTCGATTCGCCTCCTAAGTGTCTTTCACTTTCAAATTCTTGGCTCAAGTTATGTGGGACACCCTGTACACATTACTTCGGTTTCCTTCACAATTCTTGCTGATTTAACTCGCGACGCTGCCGTCATATATAGCATAACATAATTAAACTGTACTATATTCTAAATATAGCATATCTCTTCGCGCACCTCGAATCGGTGCACGCCCAGTTATACTATAACCCGGCTATTTATTGTCACTTGGTAAATAAGCGAAAGAAAGTAATGAAAAAAAAAGTAAATGAAAAATCAGGCTACGAAATGTGCCACGCAGAGCAGCAGAGCAACGTAAAGAGTATAACGCAATGCAAGCAGTCTTTGCTGAGCTCTAGGTCTTGTACATTTGTCCAAAAAATGATAAAGCACACCACAGACACGGGTGCATATATAGACGAAAACATTTTGAACGCTCTGTGATGAACTGAACAATAAATTTTGTATATAAATACGCAGAACGAAAGGTCATAATAATAACACAAGACTTGACTTTCTGAGAACATAACAAGCATAAACTTACGTTAGTCGACTCCCTTTGACCTTTTTCAGAACACGGAGCAAGGTGAAAATACAATTGAGCCTAACCGAAAACGAGAGCATTCTGCGATGCTTCACGCCCACATATCGCGCGGGTTGTCGTTTCTGACATTCTCACCGTTCAGGTCGTTCTGAGAGAAGAACTCGCATCCCTGGGGACATTCGTGGGCGAAGTTCTTTTCCGGATTGAAGTTCGCGTGTGTGCAGAAGTCTGTCCGGTTTGCCTGGTTCCTCGGGGACCAACTGCATATGTAGCACTGGACGGCGTCACCTATGCAGATGGAGAAGTGAGGTTATATATAGATGAGGCGGAAATCTCAGTATTAAAAAAAATGATATTTCTCTCTTTCAACATGCTCGCGGATATCACCACTTCGTTACAATGTACTGCTTAGCCAAAGGCGTTACACATTCACGCGCGTCAACATTATACTTCGGCGTTACAAAAGATGCATGAATGCGCGTCACATATAAGAGGGTCATAGCATCCACGTCTTCGTCGACAGTTATCTTTCTTTTTCCAGCTTGTCGTTATTAGCGGGCACATAGATGGTCATATAAGGAATATTAATCAGGGTACATAAATTATATTTATCAATGACTCGCTTTTTATTTGTTATAAACAGCCTAATTAAACCAACTTCCCGTGAGGCCAACTCGCAAAGGAGAGTCTTCCTCACTGACCGCATTGGCTTCGAGCGGCGCTGGCTAACACTCCCAGGCAGCATCAGATAAAGTGCACAAGAAGACGACCGCAGCTGTGTAGATAAATCTACGGAGCCCTGGACGCGTTCTTCGAAGGTTGTAGGATGCGTATCGACAATTGTATAGAAACGATACTAATAAGCACGACCATGCTACCACGGACATGTTGCCATTTCTTCCAATAATTATTTCTTTACATTTATATCGTAATCACTACAATACACTTCAAAGGCAATGAATTATGCCCCCTACACCTTCTTTGGCTTCGTTGTTAACATTAATCGATTGTGTATAACAGTTCAAATGACTTTCGTGAGACGTTACCCTAAACTTTTCTTAAAGCACCCGTGCCGAAACAGCAAGTAAGGAAAGCAACACGGACAATAATAAGAACGGAGGCGGGTTACAGGGGGCACGCAAGCTTCCTTATTTTCAGGACGTATACGCGTACACCACGTAGCCCAAACACCTGCAACTATCGATCATTCTTCGTCTTTACTATGACGTCATTTGCGAGGCTTTAGCGCGTACTATCTCACTCACCTTGCCTTCTGCAGTGTACCTGCTTCGCGAACGCGTCCAGACAGCGTGAAAGTGAAAGAGGCTTAAGAAGTAGGAGGGAGAGGACTTCATTCAAGGCCGCACACAGCGTTGCGTCATCGAAGAGGGCACCTGTTTTCTGTCACGCGAATTGACGGCCCCGGGCGGCCCTGCCGAGTCCGCCGTCGAGGGAGACCGCACGCTGGGAAACCATTCGACGTGGGTGTGCCCGCGCTGAATATTGCCTTCGCGTGGCCCGGCGTGCGAGGTGGGAAACGCCCATTCCGGGGCCCGAAACTGGGCCTCGCGGGCTTTCTTTTTGCGACAGTGCCCGTTTCGTGCGCCATTAAAGAATTAACGCGATGTCACGGCAGCTGTGCGTATTTAATGGGGAGTTGCTGCAGAATTCGCGGGCAACAGCAGTTAGCGATGGCAGCACTTTGCTATATAACAAAACCACCTTCAAGGTTCGATAAAGATCAAGGACGTGTAGTGACGCAGTACGCCAGAAACTAGGTTTTTAAACGTCTACTCTAGACGAAAACGTCAGGAGAGTGACACCACAGAGTTGATTTTAAAGACTGCACAAATAAGAAACGAAATTGTTCCCACGCTTCAAAAATATTGAAGGCGAAGAATAGCGCTAGATGGTGTATGGTATGTATGGAAAACTTTATTTAGGTCCGTCGGGGCGTGAACTAGCACGTAGCGGCTCGCTCCCACGTAAAACTAAGAGAAATGAACTAATGTTAGACAATTCAAAGTGCAGGTCTAGTAGGCTGATGGCTAAGGCAGCCAATGTCAAACACAATGAAAATAAATAACAAATGGCGTTTGTTTCTCCTCCGGACTGAAAATTTGAGTTTTCTTGACCTACGCTCAGGACCCATTGATCGCTGCTGAGTTTCACAGGCAGTTTCAGAGTTAGCAAATTCCTATTGTGCGTTTTAAGGGCGAAGATCTTTATGCCGTAAGTCGTGCGTCCGGGATGTATGTAGTAGTAGTAGTAGTAGTAGTAGTAGTAGTAGTAGTTGTAGGTAGCCACCTCCATGGCCGTACTAGAGGAGCGGCACGCGCGCACTCTTTTGAATTGAGGAAGAAACCCGCACGCGTTAATCATAAACAAAAAGATAGTTGTTTCTGATGAAATAGCCTACAGAGACGAGTATCGGTGACTTAATCCGTAATAAAATTTGTGTGGAATTGGAGGCTTACTGAAAAAAAAAACTAGTAACAGAAGGACGCACTTTGAGCATTATTTGCCCAGAAAATGTTCCCTAGTTAAACTTGCTGGGCGTAACCTCCTCGGCTTTCACATGGTTTAGCGAGAGTTGGGCCGCAGTGCCTTGACCTAGTGGCGGTGAAAGATGGGAAATAAGACACGAAGCGCAGGCTGTAAGAGAGTGCGCGCTCTAGTTTAGTCCTTGGAATGCTCGCTCTATGCGATGAATATATAATGAAAATATGCGAGATGGCGGTACTTGAAGAGTTCACTAGATGGACGGATGGATGGACGGAGAGATAGACAGATGCACGGACGGACAGACGCACGGATGGACTTATGCACAGACGTACGCATGGACAGACGGATGGACGAACGCAGGGACGGACGCATGGATGGGCGGATGGGCGCGCATGGACGCACGGACTAGAGGTTGCACGGACAGACGGACGCACGGACGGACGCATGGACGGACGCACGGACTGATGCTTCGCCCCACTTATCATCATGCACTTCGTGGATATGCTGCGATTTTTTTTTTCATGTTTCTCGTTCTTACTTCTGCTAAGGAGTATCAGGAGCTGCGCTTTTCGAAGGCACCCCAGATAATCATTAACTACCGTGCTCTACGCTTGGCTTCCCCGCTTAGATGTGTACATTGCTAGGAAGAGGCTTCTCAGGCCGCGCGCAACCAGTTCGTAAATTGCCTCGTATTTATACCCGTCGTGTGTTATTGCTGAAATGCCTATGATACTCCTACCGCTTCATTAATGAGTGATTGTTTGACAATTGACTAAGCTACGTCTGCAGTTTCGAGACTAGGGGAGGCCAGTGACGGGCCGAAAATGGAGAACGGAGGGCTTGCTTGTGTAACACGTCGGCTTCGTGTTCTGCTAGCCACACACTCTGGGGACGTGAAAATAACGAGCAAATAAACTCCTCCCCCACAAAATAAATAGCGTCCATTCACTCCGTCCCAACCTCCACTTCCCTCCTAAGAGTGTCGAAGAGGTGTCCAATCCAAAGCTAGGCGATGATCCAGGCCAGGTGACCCAAGCTACTACCCCCCCCCCCCCCGCCCCGTTAGTAAAACGCCCTGGTACCACTCTTGGCGAAGTGCACCTCGCACTCTTAAAAATGCCAGTTCGAACAGAATAGAGCAAACTGTCGTTCACGTTATGCCGCTCTCGCTCACCAAGTGAATGGGTCGAGCTCCGTTGTCCCGCCTTGTATGACAAAGCTTGTTCTGTGCTGAAATAGAGGGCCATTTCACAGGCTGTTTGCCCCGGAGCAGATTCGATTGTCTTTGAGATTGCTTTCCCACGCTGCGGGCGTTTTACGCCCGACCTTTATAGCACCGACAGCGTTCGTCGTCGTATTATGTGGGATGCGCTGGTTTATTACTTTGTTCAGTGTGCCGTGCGGCCGTTCCTGCTGAACTATGTCCACACCTAAACTAAATAACTCAGCCGATTCCATAAGACTCGTTTTTCATTGTTTTCCGTTCATGCAGAAAGGAGCCAGAAGTTTCTCAAAACGTCAGTTATTATCTATGCGTCCTTTCTATCTCAAATCTATTTACCCGTATGAAAAGACAGCGGGTTACGGCTAACGCCCTTTCGTTGTTTTTCGAAACACGCCCTCTCTTTCGCAGAGTACGTTTCCTTGGGCTAAGAAACGCCAGCAACGACGCAACCACGACCACTTGGTTGCGCTCAGCCGTGAACTGACGTTAAGATGCCCATCGATCAGCAGCTCTTTCACGGCGTTCAAGGAAAAAAAAGAAAGAAAAAGAAAACATCAGTGTCCCGTTTCGCGGCTATTACTCAGTGACCACGTAAAATGCTATGCAAGCGACAGCCGGTTGTAGCACCCTATATGCATATACAGATGCAATTCTAGTAGCGCCGGTACGTCGTTCGAAAGGTTTTGAAAGCCTTGCGGACGGGGCCACGTAATGTGGATGAGTGGGCTGGAAAACAGAAACGTCGTAGAGCACGGGTGTTTGGGTAGAGAAGGAGGGAGGGGGGCTGCAGCCCTGGGCGTGAGTGTTGAGACTGGTGCCTTGGGCTCTCACGAGGGACACGTTTTTAACGTGGTGCGGTGACAGATTGCTCCCGGTTCTGCTGTGCGCCACTAGCCCTATTTTCCCGAAGCCCGTTTTCCCATCCTTTTTTTTCTTCTCCTCGTCTACACTCGTGGTTTTGTCTTTTTTGTATTTAGTTCTTTCGGTCAAAAGCAGTGGCCGTGGACCTCATCCCGGTCGCTATGCCCTGCGGCGCTAAGCTACCACAGTATCCAGGAGTAATAAAAATAAAAAGAGAGAATAAAATCAAATAGCGCAAAGAAGGGAGGGATTTTCGACAGACAGTTTTCATCTCCATCCTGTTTTTGTTTCTTTTGTCTCTTTAAGTGGTGCGTATGGCGCCTTTCCTCCTGTGGGGCGCCTCTGCTAAAGCCCTCTTGATCTCGGGGCTGGCACCACGGATCTATAGGGGGCGCGCACGCGTCTCTGTGCCGGAACAATTTAAGGAACGCACCGCCCCGAGCAAGGTCCTCGCTCTTGATCTTTCTCGTATCCTCCCTCTATCGCTCTCTCCACCTTCTTCCTGTCTTTTATTCCCTCCTGTGTCGCTCAGAACCGTGCAGCAGAGTTTGGAGGGTATAAGAAGCTGCGTCAGCTTTGGCCGTCCAATCAGCGAGAACAGTTGCGACGGCTCAAACAAGAAGCGAAGGTGCTTTCTTATTCAAAAATATCACCAGTTTAACGAACAAACTTATGTCATCTCTGCGCTGTAAGTTAC